TTTATAAATTAGTCAAACTAAATTATAAATTAATGATGATTGCTATGTCTTTAATGAACGGCAACATGAGTTAAAAGTATGAAACAATATTTCATAAGAATTACAATCAATAAAAATATTATTGGGATTTAAACCATAAAATAAATATATTACGTAGAGCAGAAATATATTTAAATCAGAATAATTAATAAATGATAATATAATTAAAAACTAATATTTTTAATAATATTTTGAGAAAAAGATTAAGTCATGTAGTTAATTAGTGTAATTGTTTAGTTTATTAAATAATATGTATTTAAATTAATTTAGTTTAAAGTTGTAGTTGTTTACTTTATAATCAATTATATTATAGGGTATAGTTGATTAAATTTTACAAAATTAATTTCTATAATGATAAGGTCTATCCTAGGATATAAGGGTTAGGTAAAATTAATTTCTATAATGATAAGGTCTATCCTAGGATATAAGGGTTGACCTAACGCATGTTATCAAGTTTAATTTTTTTCTATGTTAAAACGAAAATTTCGTCGAAAATTTCAGACGAATTTAAATCTGTGGGAAATTCCGTCAGAAATTTCAGACGGATTTAAATCCGTCGGAAATTCCGTCGGAAATTCCATCAGTTAAAATTTCGTTAGAAATTTCGTCATAAATTTCGTCAGAAATTTCAGACGGGTCTAAATCCGTGGGAAATTTTCGACGGATTTTTGTTCGTGGGAAATTATCCGTCGAAAATTTAACTTTTTCTTGTAATGAATTAATTGTTGGGACTATGTTAATTCAAATATACTATGGCTGAAATGTTTACACCTTCATAAGAGGTGATAAGTTGGTCATCCAAATAAATTATTGTTGCAGCTCTATCTATAAGCTAAGTACATGGCAACTACCTAGACATGCAAGAAGGCTATATGGATTCAAAGGTTGATGTGATATCTTAGGCATAAGCAGCGAAAGATTATTGGATATTGTGACAATTAGAGTATCTTGCACAATGCAGAGAAATTATACCTATTCATCCTAAGACATAGAACATAGATATAAAATACCATTTTTTTTTCCAAAAAGTAGTAGAGCAAGAAAGTGTACATGTATAGAAGATTAACTCGAAAGACAACATTAAAAATGTTATTAGAAAGTCGGTCAATAATAACAAAATTATATGTATCATCAGTCTTCTCATGGTCTATTGAAAACATGAGAAAAGATAATAAAAAAAATTGTAGAAATATATATGATTGACTCAATCAAATCTTTTGTTAGAAGTGGAATTCACACAATTTGAAGTTGAAGTGTTGGAAGTGGAAGCCTCGCATCATATGGGTTACTTTGTTGGCTTCCACACTGGCCTACATAAAATTTCTTCTTCTTTTCCATAAAACTTTTTTTTTTGTTAATGTAGAGAAAAAGGTTTTTTAAAAAATAATTGTACTTTTTAGCATTCTATTTATCTAGAGTGTTATTGCACTCTCTTTGTATCTAGAGAAAAGTGTTGTAATTTTTTTTATTAAGTGAAATTTCTCCCCTTTTTTTTTCTTTGCAATTATTATTCATTACTAATTGTTTGCTTCTTATTTCTCATTTTATTTTTAAATCGTTATTTTGATACTCTAGTGATCACATGATGCAATGATCAATTATAAAAAAAAATCATTTTAATTCCTAAAATTATATCACCTTTTTAAATTAGTCTTTAAAATTATTAAAATCTAAAAAATAAATAAATATATAATTGATCAAGTTAATACAATTAATATTGTCATGATTAACTAACATTACAAATTAGTCTTTAAAAGTATTAAAATTTAAAAAAAATGATTAAAGATAATTGATCAAGTTAATTAATATTGTCATGTCTAACGGACAAAATTAAACACGCTAGTATAATGTGTAAATTACTTGATGATTCCGATAATTAAAAAAAAGTAGTAATTTAACATAATTAGAAGGTACTTTGACAGTTTGACAGTTTGAAGGAAAGAATATAGAGCTTAAATGATAAAAGGATAGGACTAAAATGATAAAAGGAAGTGAGTTTGAATTTTTTTTTAACTAATATAATATACTAATCCCTAACATTTGCCTTAAAAATAAACAAATAAAGAACGACCAAGTTTAACTTTCTTTTTTTATAACGTTCACCTCCGTCCCTCTTCTTTCCTAATGTTGAAAAATGTCTTTGACTATATGATATAATTTCCTACTCTTGCCGTAGCTAGTGGAGCATAAAAGAAAGACCCCAAATCATTAACAGACAAACATGATGACTTCGACTGAGTCATTATTATATTTTATCTTCAAGAATTTTCCTAGTTTCTTCCCATCCCTTGCGTAGAACTTGTATTCAAGAAAATTTAACATCAAATAATCAAATAATTTTACATGTCAAAATATGTTCTTAGATGATAATAATAAAGACTAATGTGCTTTCGCGCAAATCGCTTATGAAAACAACTGATTAGAAATAAAGTTCACTCCCTTTCGTCGTAAGAAAAAGTCCATGAGCCTAATAATTGGCATTGTAAAAGCTACCATTACACACTTTTCACGCTTACATTAACTGTTAACTCTGCTTTTGAAAAATGATTATAGATTTAAGGAGACGAAACTTCATAGTTCATACCACTTATTGTAACCGAGATCACCACGGGATGACGCTAACATTTATTTTCAATAGAGCCGCTACCAATATTTTATTTTAAGGGAAAAACATCGGAAAATCCTTTAAATGATAATCTTTAAAATCAGAGTTGAGTTCGGGAGTAGATTACGTGTAGGGAAGGTATTAGCACCTTACAACGCCTGTAAAAACAGTACCTTTAATTAATTGCGCAAAATTATATAAATTTATAAATATTTAATTTACTCCTCAGAAATGTATGTGAGATGCTTCTATTTTTTTGAATTTTTATTAGAAAATTATAGGGATTTAGGTTAGAAAATGGCTAATCAATAAACCCTTCCAATAACATGAAAGATAGAATTGTTATTCAATCAATGTTAGTGATTTTTATTTGTTGATACTAAATTATGCTTAAAGCTTAGGACAATAAATAATTATTCTATTAACTTTTATGATTTACATGATATTAAAGGGTAGAAGTGCTCTTCAATTAATATCATTAACCATAAAAATAAGTATACATGAAGCAAAAATATGTTTACATTTTTTATCTAAAGAAATAGATTTTGCATAAGGATTCAAGTTAGCAAATGGCTAATCAATAAATCTCTCCAATAACGTTAATAATAAAAATACTACTTAATTAACGTTATTGGTTGCAACATATATCTTTATTTTTTTAAAAAAAGAAATTTTGTATAAGAGAGTTTAAGCTAACAAATGACTAGTCATTAAACCCCTAAAATCAAATAATGTTAGAGATAAAAATGTTATTCAATTAATATTATTATTTGTTGTATAATAAATATTTTTTAAACAATTATTTTAAAGACAACGAATCATATTCACTATGTACAAGCAATTATTAAATAATAAAAATTAAAAATTAAATAAATAAATAAATAAAAAGAAATGATACCAAATGAGATGTTTGAACTTGTTGAATCTTCGAATATAACGATCTATTAGGCGCTTTTTGGTGACCTAACACACTACAACATTTCTCACAAAATCTCAAGAAATACAGAGGAGAAAGAGAAATTTCGAGTTCTAAAGAGTCTTAGACGAAATTTTCTGCCCCAAAAACTGTGCCCGAGGTGTCTATTTATAGACGTCAGAAGATGCCAGAACGGTCCTTCCAAAATCGAAACGGCCCGTTCTGAAATTGGCCGTTATGTATTAATGTTATAACTGGAACGACCCTTTCTTAAACTAGAACGGCCCATTCCGGAAACGAGTTTAACACATAACTGGCTACTCTGGAACGGTCGTTCCTGACAAATGTTTTTAGACCTTTTTAATAACTTAGAACGACCCGTTCCAAGCATAGGTTTTAGCCCTTTTTTGGGAGTTTGGAACGGCCTGTTCCAGTTTAAGAATGACCCGTTCCAAACTAGGGTTTTAGGTGTTTTTAGTAACTTGGAATGGCCCATTCCAGTTTTTAGAACAGCCCGTTCTGGGCTACTAAACCAACATATTTGGGCTTCAAACCTCCTCGTTGTCATATGGTGTTGCCGCCATACTTTGGGAGCTCCTCCGCTTCATTGTAAACGTCCATTTTATTATTTTTGTGAATCTAGATAAAATTGATTATTCACACCACTTATAATATAAACATACAAAGCAGGATAAATCAATAGTCGAATATATAGTTTTTCACATGGCCTCAATAATAATTGGAAATTTCTCCGCATTTGTGGTATTATTTTAAAACAATTTTTTCTGTGTTTTTTTAAGATGAAGTGGAGTTATTCAAAACCATACTTATAAAGATTGTTAGTGCTGAAAATAACTATTAAGCTTCTGTGTAATAAAAAATGAAGAATTGGAATGTAAAGTCTATGCAATTAAGAATGATAAATGGATTTGAATTAATTAGTTAACAAAAACTTATTTGAAAGGACAATATTTATCTATAAAATTTTATGGCAATACTCATCAAATAGAATTTATGAGAATAAATGTAAGTTATACGTACTCCTCACTTAGCATATATAGTTATAAATTTATAATATCTTATAATTAATTAAGATTTGAAAAACAAATAGATATTTTTTAATTGAATTAGGTGTTACACTTTTAACAAATATATTTAATTAATTTATTATTATCTAATAATTCATTTTAAGATATATTTTTTAACTAATTTATTGAAAAATATATTAAAATATTCCACTTGACTCAATTATGAAAGCAATGATATTTTTTCTTTTTGTCTTTGACCATGCATACTATTGACTAAAAGAATATCATATACTAATAGATCCACAATGTGAATGATATTTATAAAGCTGGCATGGAATATGAGTGTGAGGGACGACTTTGCTTTCCTTTGAACCCTTTAAACACACCAAAAGAATATATGAAAGACTATATATACATTGCATTGGCATCTCTAAAACATGCTTGCTTCTCCATACAGGTTCATTTCTTTCTTCTGAAATATTATCGACTGAATTAATTAATGGCAGTTCTTAGAGAACACAAACTTGTTGAAACATGTCGGGTTGGTCCAGCAGTGACAACAACCACCTCTCTTCCCCTCACATTCCTGGATTTGCCTTTGGCAGCAGGTCCTGTTTATGTGAGACGCCAATTCTTCTATCACTTCCCTCATTCCACTCTCCATTTCTGTGAAACCACACTTCCTTCTCTCAAAACCTCACTCTCTCACACCCTTCAACACTTCTTCCCTCTAGCAGGAAACCTCCTCTGTCCTCCACCACCTCACAAACCCTTCATTCGCTGCACCGATCATGACTCTCTCACCTTAACCATCATCGAGTCCAAAGATGATTTCAACCATACATCTTCCAACCACCCCAAAACTCTCAAAGACTTGGATCACTTGGTTCCAAAGTTAACATACACATACACACATGATGACACGTTCACTTTCCCTTTGGTGGCCTTGCAAGCCACGGTTTTCCCCAACCATGGCCTTTGCATCGCGATCACGTATTGCCACGTGATGGATGATAGGTGTTGCAGCCATTTCATGAAGTCTTGGTCTTCCATTTGTCGAAGCCGTGGCGTTGACTTGACCCTTGTGGAGAAGTTTCCACCTTGCTTTGATAGGGAAGTGTTGAAGGACCCCAAGGGACTCGAGGCCATTTTCTTGAGAGACTATTTTGAAGACAGGTCAACATGGAAGGACAAACTCGTTGGTAAGAAAACCACTACTTCTGAGATTTCCACTGGAAATAACGAAGATTATGCCAAAGCAACGATTGTTTTCGGAAGAGATGACATTGAGGGGCTGAAAAGATGGGTGCTGAATGAGTGGAATAAAAGTGAGGAACTCAAAGCGCCACAATATGTATCGACATTTGTGGTGACGTGCGCTTTTGTGTGGTCTTGTTTGGTTAAAACAAGATGCAGAAATGATGATGGAGATAATGAGAAAGAGGAGTATTTTCGTTTTGCTGCAGATTGTAGAGATCGCCTTGAATATCCTGTGCCAGAAACATACTTTGGAAATTGCTTAACTTTTTGTTATTCAATGCTCAAAAGAGAGGACCTCAAGGGAGAGGGCGATTTTGTGAATGCGGTTAAGGTCATTGCAAGGGCAGTGACTGATATGAAAAGTAAACTCTTTAAAGATGCAGAAAATTGGAGGGAATCTTTCATGAAAATGTTTGTGTTGGGAAGTACGTTGGTGGTTACAGGGTCACCCAAATTCACTGTTTATGAGACTGATTTTGGGTTTGGAAGACCTAAAAAAGTGGAAATGATACATTCCTTTAAGGGTATGTCTCTAGCTGAAAGTGGAGACAGGGAAGGAGGACTTGAAGTTGGTTTGGTTTGCAGAACTGAAGAATTTGAATATTTATTTTCTGTCATTCAACAAGGACTTCATGTTTCAAAATCCTAATGTTATTTGTACGTTTTACATGAAAACCGAAGCTAAGGTTAATGGGAAAAAATTGATTCAACATGTGAGGGTTGATTTTAGCTTCCCCAATTGTAATATGGATCTTTGGATTTTATTTTTAGTATAATTTGGTGACTTATCTTGTTTCATTTCTAATGAATGAATTTTAAGAAGTGTTCCGGTATTAGAATACACACCTTGCTTATCATTGAATTATCATGATCTTGGTTCTTGGTCGACGTCTTCACATTCCGCTCTAGGTAGTCCGAGGAGGGGGGTGCTTGCAAAAACACTCTGACGCTCAAGTAAGTGATCAGCGTATTAAATGCAGTAGTTCAGAATCAATTATATGCCTTATTGAGGGTCTATTTATAATAGTTGCTGTTGGGCCGTGATTAGGGAATGAGCTCCGGAAAATTAAGGGATTAAACCGGTGTATTATGTAAATTAATCTCATCTTAACTCACCTGACCTAATTTCGTATCGTCGAGTATGTGGATCTTGTTGACCGAGTCGGTCGATCCCGATCTTACCGAGCCGACCGGGTCGACCGTAGTAGATGTACTCGGCCGGGTCGACTGCATTAGCTGTATTCGGCTGAGTCGACTACCTTCCAGTATAAGAAGTTTTCCTAAAGGGAATTATATTGATTGGTTAGTTAATTAGTTGCCACAAACATAATTTTTTTATATCACATCCCTCCGACCGCTCGTGTGCCTATTTGTATTTGGTTACTTGATAAACTTTGAATGAAGTGTATGTAAATTAATTAAATTCACAAATCTTATATATAATGTACCTTTTTTTAGAGAGAATGTGGTATTTAATCACTCACATTTTATATATATATATCTTCGTCACTCACATCTTATACATTGCATCATTGTTTATGAACGAGGAAATCTTTGGACCCTCTATATATCCAAATTATTTTTTTACATGAAAAAGACAATTTTGTTAAATTGTGTTCTACTGTGTTTCCCACCTTTCTAGTAAAACAAAGTTCGTGGACATTTGCGTTTGGAGCTAAACCCCTACAATCAGTATCAACCACAGATTTGAAAATTAGAATAAATTGGCCGGTATTGTTCGGTCGAATTGGAAACTGATTTAGAAACCAGTCTGATAACTACCGAAAACAAGACAAAACCGGTCAAACATAACTAATTTGAATCGGTCTGCTTCAATTTTTTTTTTTATAAAATTTTTGAAATTTAATTTAGATTTTAATAAAAATAAAATACTAAAAACCTATTTTGGTCTCTTATAATAATTGTTTGTTTCAATTTAGTCTCACTTTTATTTTTTGTCTCAATTTGGTCCCAAATAAATTAATTGGTCTCAATTTGGTCCCTAATAAATTAATTGGTTTCAATTTGGGACTTCCGTCTAAATTATTTAAGAGAGTTGCTACTGTACCCCCGATAAATGAGGGTTTTGGTACTGTATCTAATGTGTATGTACACATTATTTAAATGTTATGTCAGCTTTTTAAGTAAGAATTATTTTTTATTTAAATTTTTATATTATTTATTTTTAAGTTTTTATTAATATTTTTATAATTATACGATGAGCACCGTGATCTCTCCTCTCCCCTCCGTCTCCCTCCTGTACTCACAATCGTCTCTCTGTAGTCTCTCTACTCAGTACTCACTTCCCCTCCTTCCTTCCTTCCTTCTCTCCCTCACTTTCACACTTCTCCTTCTTTTCCTTTCTAATCCAAACCCAAACTTCACTTTTATTCCCTTCTTTCTGCGTTGCAACTTTTACTCATCCCTGTTTGGCTTTTGCTCTTTTTCTCTCCCATCACCACTCTCCTCCCTCTTCCTCTTCTCTCTACCCATCGCATCTTCCTTTTGCTCTCACTGTATAACCATTTTTCATTCCCTTAGGGTTTCCAAAACACATTCTCCAATATCGCACTGCGCTACCCAACCCTGCCTTCTTCCACTTCCTCCTTTTCGCATCAAGGTCTCTTCTCTCTCGATTGCGGTATTCTATTCAACGCTTGAATCACCTCGCTTCCTATTCTTTATTATGCCCTGAAATCTCGCCGGCCCGCAAAGAGGGAAGAAACACGAAGCAAACATTCCGAAAAAAAATTAAAAAATGTGAACTTCATATTAACTGACGTTCTCTCTCTCTTACCCTTCAACATTTTTTCCCTCTCGCTGGAAATCTCCTCTGTCCACCACCACCCCACAAACCCTTCATTCGCTGCACCGATCATGACTCTGTCACCTTCACCATCATTGAGTCCCAAGCTGATTTCCAACTTCTCTCATCCAACCACCCCAAAAGTCTCAAAGACTTGGATCACTTGGTTCCTACGTTGACATTCACAAACGTGCATGATGATGACACGTTCACTTTCCCTTTAGTGGCATTGCAAGTCACAGTTTTCCCCAACCATGGCCTTTGCATCGCCATCACATATTGTCATGTGATGGATGGTAAGTGTTGCAGTCATTTCATGAAGTGTTGGTCTTCCATTTGTCGAAGCGGTGGCGTTGACTTGACACTTGTGGAGAAGTCTCCACCGTGCTTTGCTAGGGGAGTGTTGAAGGACCCCAATGGACTCGAGGCCATTTTCTTAAGAGACTATTTTGAAGAGAGGTCAACTTGGAAGGAAAAACTCATTGGTCAAACTTATAAAAGTTCCGGTGGTGATGCTGATGAGGACTTTGTTAAGGCAACGATTGTTTTTAGAAGAGATGACATCGAGAGGCTGAAAAGATGGGTGTTGGACCAGTGGAAGGAAAGTGAGGAATTCAACGTGCCACAATATGTATCAAAATTTGTGGTGACGTGTGCTTTTGTGTGGGCTTGTTCGGTTAGAACAAGATGCAGAAATGATGAAGAAGAAAAGGAGAAAGAGGAGTATTTTCGTTTTGCTGCAGATTGCAGAGATCGCCTTGAGTATCCTGTGCCAAAAACATATTTTGGAAACTGCTTAACGTTATGTTATGCAATGCTAAAGAGAAAGGATCTCAAGGGAGAGAGTGGTTTTGTGAATGCGGTCAAGGCCATTGAAAAGGCATTGACTGATATGAGAAGTGAACCCTTTAAAGATGCAGAAAACTGGAGGGCGTCGTTTAAGAAGATGTTTGTGTTGTCGCTGGAAATCTCCTCTGTCCACCACCACCCCACAAACCCTTCATTCGCTGCACCGATCATGACTCTGTCACCTTCACCATCATTGAGTCCCAAGCTGATTTCCAACTTCTCTCATCCAACCACCCCAAAAGTCTCAAAGACTTGGATCACTTGGTTCCTACGTTGACATTCACAAACGTGCATGATGATGACACGTTCACTTTCCCTTTAGTGGCATTGCAAGTCACAGTTTTCCCCAACCATGGCCTTTGCATCGCCATCACATATTGTCATGTGATGGATGGTAAGTGTTGCAGTCATTTCATGAAGTGTTGGTCTTCCATTTGTCGAAGCGGTGGCGTTGACTTGACACTTGTGGAGAAGTCTCCACCGTGCTTTGCTAGGGGAGTGTTGAAGGACCCCAATGGACTCGAGGCCATTTTCTTAAGAGACTATTTTGAAGAGAGGTCAACTTGGAAGGAAAAACTCATTGGTCAAACTTATAAAAGTTCCGGTGGTGATGCTGATGAGGACTTTGTTAAGGCAACGATTGTTTTTAGAAGAGATGACATCGAGAGGCTGAAAAGATGGGTGTTGGACCAGTGGAAGGAAAGTGAGGAATTCAACGTGCCACAATATGTATCAAAATTTGTGGTGACGTGTGCTTGTGCTGCAACCAGAACGGGCCGTTTTGGTTTCAGAACGGGCCGTTCTGGTTCCAGGTATTTTCACAAAATTTGGCGTCTGCGTGGTATCCACGTATGCATCTACGTGGCATCCACGTGGCCAACAGTTAACTCCGTTTAAATAATTTGGATGGAAGTCCCAAATTGAAACCAATTAACTTATGAAAGACCAAATTGAGACAAAAAATAAAAGAGAGACTAAATTGAAACAAACAATTATTATAAGGGACCAAAATAGATTTTTAGCCAATATTTAACGTACGTTGTTATAACTTAATAAAATTTAAACTTATATATAATATTATATTTAGTTGAGACTTTTATGTATACATTGAGTGTTAAAAAACTTATAAATAAACTATTTTAATTTTTAATATTATAAAATTATGATATTATATATTTAATATTACTTTCACATTAATAGTAATAATAATAATTATTTTATTAATATCGATTTAATCGCATGATTCAATCATAGTTGAACTATTGAACCTTAATTAGAGTCTAGACCAATTTAATGATTGGTCTAATTTTAAAAATATTAGTATTAATATATATCTGACCCAATATTAAAAATAACCAAGAAAAATATTAACTTATTAATTGTATTTATATATTAAAATATTGAAAAGGTAATTAAAATATTATAAATAACAGTAACGCAATAAAATATGTTTAAAAATAATAAAAGAATGTTAATTAAATATCTTATACACTAATATTTTATTAGTTAATATTAATAAATAATCATAAACAACAACAACGGATTACTCCCTAATCCCTCTCCGTACTAAGCCTACTTGCATATATGTTTAAGGAACATCGTCCTATTAAAACCTTTTTGCCAGGATGTGGGCCTAATCTTTTTGGCCCAGTACAGCATGACAATTGACACCGTTATGAAGCAACACCACACACGTAGGTTGCAATGGAGGCCATGCAATAGCCCACGGGCTTACGGTTGTAGCAGCGGCCCAAGTTAGTCTCGTTAGCTTTAACTCTATATTAACATGAATAATAACTTCCATACCTATTCTTGTACCTACTATTTTTTCTTTTACTAGAAAAATGGTAGATAGAGGATAACACTTCCAAGACTATCATGTAGGAAATCAATGACATGCTACATTTTCAGACTAAGTGTTACTATCCACTTATGATTAAAGTTGAATAGTATTTAATTTAATTCGAAACTTTACTTAGTGAATTCGGGTCAACAGTGTTACCAAAGAATTTTTACCTCTAATAACAAACGAACTAAAATTTATCATTTAATAGATTTAATATCAGATAAAATTTAAAAAATTTTAATTTTAAAAGCTATACATTTGAAACAACAATAATTATAAATCTTGTCAATAATATTTTAGAAGAAATATAAATATTTATAAAAATAATATAATTCTTATTGAAGGAACGCATGGCAGAAGTTTGGCACCCACGTAAAGGTGTTTCTATACGTGAAATAGACTCTGGTCTCTTTCTCTTCCAATTTTACCACCCACTGGACATGCAATGCATATTAAAGGGAGGCCCTTGGTCGTTTGATCTTCATTTACTCATACTGGGCATCATCAAAGACGGAGAAGTTCCAAATCAAATACCGCTTTACACTGTACCTTTTTGGGTGCAAATTCATCAACTTCCACCTGGATTCAACTCCTCCTCTGTGGGTCAAAATATAGCCAATCACATCGGTGAATTTTTGGAGTTTGACTCACGAAACACAACTACGTTTTGGAGGTCATATATGCGTGTACGAGTTCTCATTGATGTCAGAAAGCCTTTAAAGAAATCAAAACGTATAAAAAAATCGAGAGGCGAGGCTACGGTGGTCTTATTCAAATATGAGAAATTAGGCCCCTTTTGTTTTGTATGTGGTCTATTAGGCCATATGGAGGATAGTTGTGAATTCCTATTCAACGCATCTGAAGACGATGGACAACGTGGCTAGGGACCGGAGCTCCGAAATGACCCTCGAACAGCCACTCCTAGATCGCGTTGGTTACGTGATGAGGATTCTGGTTTGACTTCTCCACAAAATCTAGGATCTAGCGAATATTATGGGATTGGCCAATCTGTTACTTCCAACGCCCAAAGCGGGAATCCTATCTATCCTGATAATCATGACAACAAAAAAAGAAATGATTTAATGATAGAGATTTTTAAGAATCCAGCTATTATGGCTGCCAGGGCCCACACCTCAAATGCTACCAGTAATTCCCATGTACAACAAAACACAATTGCTGATATCACCAAAGAGCCCATCAATTTAACCCATGCAAACCAAAATTCTGTTGCGACTAATGATGACCTTACTATACTCGATAGAAAACGTCGCTACCACGGCGACGCTGAAATCGCAGATGAACACACCACTACATCAATCATGGACACCGAAGATGCTGATCATTTTTTATGGGCAGGCCCTGGAAACCAGGCCTGCCAGGGCTCATGAGTTGCATAAGTTGGAACTGTTTATATGGCCTGTACTGTGAATGGAATTGGCAGAAAAAGTATTCTCATTCTCCTCTTGTTCCTTTCTTAGGAGGCAGCCTGTCCTCTAAATCAGTGCATCCTTCTTTATTGTTAACATTTGGTGCTTTCATTGCCACTCTCATGGCTGACGGTACTCGCTTCAAAAACCTCTCTGACAAGCTAGATGACATGCTAGGTCAGATGACCATCTTTTCCTCACAAATGACCGATATGCAACACCGCCTTTCCAACCTGGAATCCAAACCGCCTTCCTCTCCACATTCCATCAACGCCATTAACAACCCACCCTCTCCCCGCCACTTCCTTAAACTTGACGTTCCCCGTTTCGATGGCTCTGATCCCCTTGGCTGGATCTTTAAAATCACCCAGTTCTTTGATTATCATAATACTCCGGAGGAAGAACGCATCACCGTTGCTTCGTTTTATCTTGATGGTGCAGCCTTGGCCTGGTTCCAGTGGATGTATCGGAACGGACAGATCCACTCGTGGCAGCACCTGTTGCAAGCTCTTGAGACCAGATTTGCCCCCACTGCCTTTGATGACCCTCGCGGCAGACTTTTCAAGCTCACTCAGACAACCACTGTTTCTCCATTCCTCACAGAGTTTGAGGCTGTGGCCAATCGCGTGACGGGTCTTTCTCCTCAATTTCTCTTGAGTTGTTTCATTTCCGAGCTGAAGCCGGAGATCCGGCGTGAGGTGATTGCGCAACAGCCACTGTCTCTCACTCATGCCGTCGGGTTGGCGCGTCTCCACGAGGAGAAGCTTCAGGACCTCTCTCGCATCCAACGAGCCAAACCAGGTGCACATTGGGCCTCATACAACATTAGGGCATAATTGTTTAGCACAAACATCTAATAAAATTGAAAATTTGACTATTTTATCGCATTTTTTTATTTATTAATATGATGTTGCAATATATAAATTATATAAATTCTTATTAAATATGAATATAAAAATATTTCACACTACTAATTTAAATAAATTATACTTTTATATTTTTATACTTCTTGCAATTTTATACAATTTTTACCATGTTTGTAACAATTTTTTATTTGATCTTCAATTACTTTCAATAGTTTTCATATAAGTGAATTTAATGAAAAGTTTCAAATTTTGGATTAGTCAAAAAATGATTAAAAATTATGTCTCAAAATTGAAAACAATATTTGTTTCAAAAGCATCAAATTAGTCCAAACTTGATAAATAATCAATCAAAAGTATTCAACAAGTCTTCTTATGTAAGAACTTGGAAAGATCTCTTTACAAAAGTCATTGACAAGTATAAAGTCTTAAAGATGATTTTCTGTATGAGGAGGAGACATTTTACACTCTTTTTTCCTTCATCATGATTTTGTCCCACTGGGTTTTTTTTACAAGATTTTTAATGAAGTAGTATATGATATTGTATTAAAGAATGGTGTACTCAAGGAACCTCAACAAATTTGTATTGATTGCATGAATGAGAATGATCAAAGAGATCCAATCTTGAAAAAGAGCTCTTAGAGAACTACAAGGAGACTAGAGCTTATCCATGTAGATATTTATGGCCCAATTAAGTAAGAATCTAATAGAAAAACGAGGTATTTCATAAGTTTCTTTTATGAATTTAGTAGGAAAACTTGGGTTTATTTTGTTTAAGAAAAGTATGTTGCATTTGATTTGTTTAAAAGATTCAAAGCTCTAGTTAAAGAGAAATCAAGAAATTTTATTAAGTGTTTAAGAACTAATAGGGGAGATGAATTTAATAACTTCTTATGAATTTGATAAATTATGTGTCGATAGTGGAATAAAAAAACAACTTACTACTTGATAAGTGCTATTATTCATTAAGTTTATGGCCTAGTTTGAAGCACTTATATCAATTTTCCTTGCTTTAGACTTTGTTTTTAACTCAAAACATATCTAAATTGTTAGGTGATCACATTTTGTTTTTGAATCATGTTTTTAGGTAACTTACAAGTATTTGGTTGTTGTTTTGTAGTTTAGGAGAAAGCTAGGAAAGAAGGAAGGAAGTCAACCACAAAGTGGTGAATTTGAAGTTGAAGAAATTTTTGGTAAGTCCCCAGGCTAAGCCCCAGATCTAGACTTAGCCTCAGCTTGACAAAGAGTCCCTGGAACAAAAATTCAATCCTCACGTTGAGCGTGGAACTGAGGCTAAGCGTGGGAGTCCCAGAACCTCATTCCACTCCAAACCTATCCTCAAGCTTAGCGTGGCTTCTCACGCTTAGCGTGGATTGTGCTGACATGTCATTATTCACATAAGACAAAAGCTTTTATGACCTAAAACTGGGATTTTCGAGGAGGGAAGCAAGGATGATCATTCTTGGAGTTTGTGTGGAGGCTGAAGAGCTTTGGAACCTTCAAGATCAAGCTTCTCCCTTTCTTCATCATTTGTAGAGTTCTACATGTCTATGTGTAGCTAAACTCACCCTTGTTGGGGTTTGATGTAACTAAACCCATTCTCATGTGTAAACTCTAAGCTATCAATCTAAGTTGTTATTTAGTTTTATTGTTCTGTTTCTGTGCATAATGCTTGTTATGGCTTGATCACCCTTAACTTGAACTTGAGGTTTTTAAGAGATTGAGAAATGATTTTAAACCTTTGACTTGAAATGGAGCAGCTAATGGTGCTTATTGCTAGAGATAGAGTAAATGTCATTGGTCTTTCTTAAGCTCTGGTTTTTAAAGCTAGTTTCTTGTTTAAACTATGCAAAAGATTGATAGTTTAAGCTAGCAACTTAGATATGCCAACTTGTAAGAGATTAGGGTTGGTTACTTTTGAGAGTGATTGATAAATTCTAAATAATAACTATTGTGAGCTTAGTGATAAACATGAGAGGAAGGTTTAGTGAAGTCAAACCCCAACAATTTATTAATATTGCATTAGAATCAAGTTTTGCACTCTAAGTGTTTACCAAAATACCAAAAAGAATTGTTATTACTTGTTTACATTATTTACTGCAGCAAATCAAACTCTTATTGCTTTTTGGTAGTTTAGTTAGTATAACATAAGTGAAATTGCAAAGTGTTACGCAAGTCCCTTGGGAGACGACACTCATACTTTCATTGAACTACTTATACGATTTGGTACACTTGCCAAACGAGATAACACTACTACCTACACTCCTTAGCAAAATGGAATAGCAAAAAGGAAGAATATGATTATAATGAATATGGTAAGAGGTATGATGTCAAGGAAGGATGTTGCTAAAGTATTTTGGCTTGAAGTTGTGACTTGGACCATCTATATATTAAATAGAAGTCCTACATTAGAAGTGAAGGATCTCACACCTAAGATGGAGTGGAGTCAAACCCTCTATATACCATTTTTGAATATTTGGTTGCATTGTGCATGCTCATGTTCTAGATGCATAAAGAAAGAAATTGGATAATAAAAGCATTAGATGTGTGTTCTTGGGAGTTAGTGAAGATTCCAAGGCATATAAGGTGTTTGGTCCTATCTAAAAAAGGTGATTGTTAATTAGTAGGGATGTGGTATTTTCAAAAACAAAAAATTGATATTGGGAAAATGAAGGAAAAAAAATAATAAGGAGCAATTATATTTGATTTGGGTGACAACAATGAAGATATTGATAATGCAGGAAAAAAAATGGTAATAAATAGTAGATAGATTCTACAATTGCAACATGTTGGAGCTCAAGTGTAAAGTGAGTTCCACATCGGTTATAGTTAGGCATGTTAAATATATATAAGTGAGAAAGACCTACCTACCTAATATTTTAAGTTTTTGGGTTAATTATGTTGGGTGTTAAGCTTACTTATATGGTTTACTCACTACCCATGGATCGAGTGTTTCCTAGTGCTTAAATCCTCGACCCAATAGTGGTATCAAAGCTAATGGTTCGACCAAGTGACTGATGGTCAACTAAGATGAGTATTGACTAATAGAATTGGTGATGGATCCAAGAGTGGGATCATCCCTTGGTTGAAAGTCTTCTTAGAGTGGAGAGGACGTGTTACATTAAAGTAAGCTAGCATTGATGCAAGTAGGTCACCGTTGAATACTCGTGGATGAAAAAGACTTCTGCTAGAGGGGGAGTATGAGCATGTGAAATAGATTCACAATTGTGTTGGAGTTCAAGTGTGAAGTTGTTGGGATTTTTAAATAGGCAAGCGCACCCAAGTCTCTGTAGTAAAGTAAAGCGGTATTTGATTTGGAACTTCTCCGTCTTTGATGATGCCCAGTATGAGTAGATGACGATCAAATGACCAAGGGCCTATGCGTTGCATGTCCAGTGGGTGGTAAAATTGGAAGAGAAAGAGACCAGAGTCTATTTCACGTATAGAAACACCTTTACGTGGATGCCAAACTTCTGCCATGCGTTCCTTCATCATCTGAGTATACGTATCTGGCGTTCAGTGAGGAACCTTCCTACCAAGCATAAAGTCAGATCTGTCTCAGGTCCAACAATGGTGTCTTCGGTTATGATAAGGTCTTTGTCATCCTCTATCACCATAGCATTGAGGTTGAGTGGTTCCATACCTGGGAGTGGGGAAACAACGTAACAACGAGTTCACGATGCGGACGACGTGCGGCAACTAACGTCTCATAGAGAGAGAGGGCATCTCACAGAGAGAGAAAAAAATTATTTGCAATCCTAATTCTTTTATATATATATATATATATAATTTCTTATCTAATTTGAGTCTTCATAGTTTTGATTTGATATTTTTTAGAGGTTAAGACCTAATACCAACATGTCATCCATAAACAATGACAAAATGATGAGATCATTATCATCAAGCTTATTATATAGTATGTATATAAGATGATCTAAACTCAATATGTTATAATATTAAGGTTAATGGTGAAGAAATCAAATCTCTCATACCAATATCTTAGCATTTACTTTAGATTGTATAAAGATTTGGCCAACCTTCAAACCAAGTTTACATTTTCTTATTCTTTAAAACCTTTTAGTTGGAGCATGTAAATTATATCTACAATGACATTTTTTTATATGTCATTATATGTAATAATTTTTATAATACATTGAATTTGTTTGTTTATTGTACTTTGTGATCTCGTTAGATATATTTTCTTTTTTATCTACATTATAGTTTTGTATTCGGTGTTTTCATTTACATTATGCAATTCATTTTTTTTGCAAAAGCTTGCATCTCTAAAAATAACCTTACATTTTCTTTTTACATATGTACAACCAATAAAAATCAAAGCAATAATTATATTAACGATGAAAGAAATTGAAAGAATAATAAGTTAATAAAAATATTTTAAAGAAACTAAAATATATCTCATTTAGTGTTTTAAAAATTTGACCATATGAATTGGCATATTATTTTAAAAAGTGCATAAATCAATTCTAGATGTAACCGCCAATTTATTGGTATGTAAAAAAAAATGTTAGTTTACATTTGACAGATAATATATCTAATCAAATTAAGAGACTTAAATCAATTAAACTATTAGTTCTCGATCTAAGTTGATTTTTGAAATAATGGTCTTTTTATAACTTTTCTTCATTGGATTGACTAATTTTAGAAGTAAAATAATACCTTCAATTATGATTTTATATTCAAGAATGGAATTAAACCTTGATTTAGTTAAAAAATTTAAGTGTCAAACCATTTGTATTAATATCATTTGATTTTTAAATACTAGAATCATTAATATTAGGGATTATTTTAAAAAAATTGTATAAATTTTAGTTAAATTTAATGCTACTAACTAATTAACTATTTTTCTTAAATCTTGGTGAATTAGTTAATTAAGTCTTATAAAAAATTAAAATATATATAAGATATTTGAAATTTATTTACATACCATGAACTTTTAAATGTGTTAACATTTAAGTTTAAACACAAATAAACAACTAATACGAGAGGTATGTTGTAATTAAAATATTAATATGGTGTGACAATTGACAAATAATCATGTTACTTAAGAGAGTCTAATTCTTATGCTCACATGTACAAAATTGAAAGAAAAAAAAATAGTTCCTTAAATGAATCTTATAGTGTATTAAAATATTAGTCTCTTCCCTTCGACGAGGGATATATTCTTGGATTAAACCAAAATGTTATAATAAACTACGTTTATGAAATCTAACTTACCTAATAATATTGATCATATCAGAAAACATTAAAATTCATCCACTTGAAATCATACGACATAAATTACCAAGTTACTAAACACGAACCTAATTAAATATCCTTATTGCAGTCAAGGAAGTTAACATCAACCATGATGACTTATTGACACAAATTTACCATTTGGACAGAGCTATGCTTAATTTCAATTTAAAGATCACACAAAGAGATTTAGGATTTGGAAGCTTTAAGTTCTTGTTCGATGACAGAAACGAAATATTCAAATTCGGTACTTCTACACACAAAGCCAACCTCAAGTCCTCCTTCCTCATCTCCACTTTCAGTTAGAGACATGCACTTAAAGGGATGCACCATTTCCACTTTGTTAGGCCTTCCAAATCCAAAATCAGTCTCATAAACAGTGAAGTTGGGTGACCCTGTAACTAGCAATGTACTTCCCAACACAAACATCTTCTTAAACGACGCCCTCCAGTTTTCTGCATCTTTAAAGGGTTCACTTCTCATATCAGTCAATGCCTTTTCAATGGCCTTGACCGCATTCACAAAACCACTCTCTCCCTTGAGATCCTTTCTCTTTAGCATTGCATAACATAACGTTAAGCAGTTTCCAAAATATGTTTTTGGCACAGGATACTCAAGGCGATCTCTGCAATCTGCAGCAAAACGAAAATACTCCTCTTTCTCCTTTTCTTCTTCATCATTTCTGCATCTTGTTCTAACCGAACAAGCCCACACAAAAGCACACGTCACCACAAATTTTGATACATATTGTGGCACGTTGAATTCCTCACTTTCCTTCCACTGGTCCAACACCCATCTTTTCAGCCTCTCGATGTCATCTCTTCTAAAAACAATCGTTGCCTTAACAAAGTCCTCATCAGCATCACCACCGGAACTTTTATAAGTTTGACCAATGAGTTTTTCCTTCCAAGTTGACCTCTCTTCAAAATAGTCTCTTAAGAAAATGGCCTCGAGTCCATTGGGGTCCTTCAACACTCCCCTAGCAAAGCACGGTGGAGACTTCTCCACAAGTGTCAAGTCAACGCCACCGCTTCGACAAATGGAAGACCAACACTTCATGAAATGACTGCAACACTTACCATCCATCACATGACAATATGTGATGGCGATGCAAAGGCCATGGTTGGGGAAAACTGTGACTTGCAATGCCACTAAAGGGAAAGTGAACGTGTCATCATCATGCACGTTTGTGAATGTCAACGTAGGAACCAAGTGATCCAAGTCTTTGAGACTTTTGGGGTGGTTGGATGAGAGAAGTTGGAAATCAGCTTGGGACTCAATGATGGTGAAGGTGACAGAGTCATGATCGGTGCAGCGAATGAAGGGTTTGTGGGGTGGTGGTGGACAGAGGAGATTTCCAGCGAGAGGGAAAAAATGTTGAAGGGTAAGAGAGAGAGAGTGTTTGAGAGTGGGGAGTGTGGTTTCACAGAAATCTTATTCAAATATGAGAAATTAGGCCCCTTTTGTTTTGTATGTGATCTATTAGGCCATATGGAGGATAGTTGTGAACTCCTATTCAACGCATCTGAACACGATGGACAACGTGGCTGGGGACCGGAGCTCCCTCTCTCCACCTTCTTGCTGTTGCTCCTCCTCTGGCATTGGCTGCTGCTGCTCCTCTCCTCCCTCAAAGTGTGGACTGTCCCCAGGCCAATAAAAGTGTTGCTGAAATGCATTATGGAATTGGCCAATCTATTACTTCCAACACCCAAAGCGGGAATCCTACCTATCCCGATAATCATGACAACAAAAAAAGAAACGATTTAATGATAGAGATTTTTAAGAATCCAGCTATTATGGCTGCCAGGGCCCACACCTCCAACGCTACCAGTAATTCCCATGCACAACAAACCACAACTGCTGATATCACTAAGGAGCCCATCAATTCAACCCGTGCAAACCAAAATTCTGTTGCGGCTAATGATGACCTTACTATACTTGATAGAAAACGTCGCTACCACGACGACGCTGAAATCGCAGATGAACACACTACTACATCAATCATGGACACCGAAGATGCTGATCATTTTTTATGGGCAGGCCCTGGAAACCAGGCCTGCCAGGGCTCATGAGTTTCATAAGTTGGAACTGTCAGGGCTTAGGCAACCCGTGTGCAGTTCCTACCCTTAAAGATCTTATTCGGACATACCACCCGGATGTGATCTTCCTTTGTGAAACGAAGGTACATGCACGACGTTTAGAAGACATACGTGTGGCTCTTAACTTTGACTCTTCTTTTGCTGTAGATAGCTCCGGACGTAGTGGTGGCCTTGCACTTCTCTGGAAGCAACCATATTCTTGTCACTTAATTAATTACTTTCCCCACTTCATCAACGTTTCTGTCACTCATCCTAAGAAGCCAACATGGCGACTCACAGGCTTCTATGGTTATCCAGAAAGAAACCGTAGGAAGGATTCTTGGGACCTATTGCGCTACCTTGCGCAAGACAATTCACTTCCATGGTGTGTCATTGGAGACTTTAATGACATCTTATCTAACCAAGATAAAAGGGGTTTGATAGAGCACCCAACATGGTTACTGCGGGGGTTCCGTGAAGCTGTGATGGACTCTGAACTAGTGGATATACCTCTTGAAGGTTACAATTTTACGTGGACTAAGAGCCGTGGTTCACCAACACAAGTGGAGGAACGATTGGATAGAGCTATGGCCACTCAAAGCTGGCTTAATCAATTTCCAGATAGTAGACTTATCAACGCAGTGGCTGCCAGGTCAGATCATTCTCCTATTCTCTTAAAACTATCCATGCAAACCACATTACGTACTCGTCAGTCTTTTAGGTTTGAGAACGCATGGCTAGATGAACCTGGTCTATCCCCACTGGTTGAAGCGAGTTGGCATCGTGGGCACTTCCCAGACATTCTTGATAGGCTAAAATCCTGTTCCAAAGACATGGATGAATGGGGTCGCCAGCTTCGCTTGAGGTTTCGTGCTCCTATTGACGCTTGCCGACGCCAACTCCTGGAGTTACGTGAAAAGCATGATGCCAATTTTGTGTCAGCATTTTTGGAGGCTCAAGAGCGCTTATCAACACTGCTCGCAAGGGAAGAAACTTTCTGGAAACAAAGAGCCAAGGTGTATTGGCTTAAAAATGGAGACAAAAATACTAAATTCTTCCACGCCATGGCTAGTGAAAGAAAGAAGAAGAACTTGATCCAACGCCTCACCAAACTTGATGGCACGATAGTTATAGCCCAATAGGACCTTTGTCAGGTTGCTCAAGATTACTTTACTGACCTATTTGAAGCCCAACAAAGTGACATTGCCCAAGTCATTGATCATATCTCCCCCAAAATCACAGCAGCAGACAATGACTCTCTCCTTTAACCCTTCTGCATCAGTGAATTCAAGACAGCCCTTTTCTCCATGCACTCTGACAAATCACCAGGACCGAATGGCCTTAATCCAGGTTTTTACAAGCGGTTTTGGGACCTCTTTGGCCTAGAAGTCTTTGCTGCTGGCACTCATTGGCTTGAACAAGAAGAGTTTCCTCCTCAACTAAACAACACGAATGTGGTGCTTATTCCTAAAATAGCAAATCCAACTTCCATGAAAGATCTTCGCCCCATATCACTATGCAATGTGATTTATAAAATCCTATCTAAGGTTCTAGTGAACCGCATGAAGCCATTACTCAACCAATGCATCTCTCTAGAACAATCTGCCTTTGTGGAGAACCGCTCAATACTTGACAATGTTCTGGTAGCCATAGAACTCATTCACCACATGAAATGCAAGAAAAATGGCAAAACAGGGGAAGTTTCTCTCAAGATTGATATTAGCAAGGCGTTTGATCATGTAGACTGGTCCTACCTACACAACCTGCTATTGAAGCTTGGTTTTCATCATAAATGGGTTAGCTGGCTGAAACTATGCATGGAATCGGTCAAATTCCAAGTCCTTATGAATGGAGAGGAGGTAGGACCTATTACTCCAGGAAGGGGCCTCCGCCAAGGCGACCCACTATCACCTTATCTATTCATCATATATGCTGAAGGTCTCTCTTCATTACTACAACAAGCTGAAGCAAGAGGAGACATTCATGGTATCAAAATTTGTAGAGGTGCCCCATAACTCACCCACCTCTTATTTGCAGATGATTGTTTTCTCTTTTGCAGGGCTACTGATAAAGAATGTGCCACACTTAAGAACATGCTCAACCAGTATGAGAAAGCTTCTGGTCAAGCCATTAATATGCAAAAGTCAGAAATATTTTACAGCAGTAACACAACACCTGCTGCTAAAACATCAATCACTACCATCCTAGGTGTTTCAGAATGCATGGGCACCGGCAAGTACTTGGGACTGCCTTCAATGATTGGTAGGAAGAAAAAGGCACTGTTTAACAACATCAAGGACCGCATATGGAGGAAAATCCAGCATTGGTCTGGTAAGCACTTATCTAAAGCAGGAAGAGAAACACTCCTAAAATCAGTAGCTCAATCCATTCCATCCTACTATATGAGTGTCTTCCTCATTCCTTCATCATTTGGCGATGAGATTCAACGCATGTTAAACTCTTTCTGGTGGGGCTCAAACAGACACTCTAGGAAAGGCATCCATTGGCTTAGCTGGGAAAAATTATCCATAAGGAAAGAACACGGAGGAATGGGCTTTCGCAACCTCTATGGCTTCAACTTAGCCATGCTAGGGAAGCAAGGTTGGAAATTCTTGACCAACCAAGATGCTATAGTTACTCGTGTATTCAAAGCTAAATACTTCCCGCGAGGGGACTTTCTGGGGGCCAATCTTGGCCACAACCCGAGTTTCACATGGCGTAGCATCCACGCTTCACAGGTAGTGGTAACATGCGATGGTGTATTGGTAATGGTCTTCGCATCAAACCATGGATTGATCCCTGGATGCGTCAACAAGGTAAGCCCTATGTGACATCTTTGCCTCCAGCAGGGTATGAGGAGACCAGGATAGCTAACCTAATTGACTTTGAGAATGGCACCTGGAAGTTTGATCTTATTAACAGGATTTTCAACCAACGTGACGTTGATGCAATAAAAGATATCCCACTCCTCCAGCTTGACGAAGCAGATACACTCACGTGGAATCTCAACAGGAAAGGCTCGTACTCTGTTAAATCTGCTTATTATCTTATTATGGAGTCCCTGTTATGCAACTCTATCTCAAGGCTCCCTGGTGATTGGAAAAAGTTATGGGCTCTACCTATTCCACATAACATGAAAATCTTTCTTTGGAGACTTCTTAGAGACTGTCTTCCTTCACGCCAATGCCTTCAGCAAAAGGGAGTCCCTTGTACCTCCCTTTGTCCCCACTGTGAAGCTGCACAAGAAAGCAACTGGCACATTTTCTTTGGTTGTCAAGAAGCACAGATCGTATGGTAAGCAACTGACATATGGCAACATATTAAACCCTTAGTAGATATAGGTGAAGGAATTGTAGAGGTCATCTTTTCCTTACTTGGCAGCATATCTCAAAGACACATCGTTGAAGTCGTGATCACGTGTGGTTGTATCTGGAGACGTCGGAATGCTAAGGTTTGGGATCAGGGTGCCCCACCTTCAGGTGTAGCCATCTCACAAGCAAAGCAACATTTTCAGGATTGGAAAGTGGCACAAGCAAGATCGTCAACACAAAGGATCCCTCCTATACACGATTTACAGTGGAAAAAGCTCCATGTAGGGACATTTACGTGCAATATTGCACTACAAGAAAATGACGATTTTGCGACGGTTATATGACCTACATTGCGACGGTTATAACTGCCGCAAAGACAACATTGCGACGGTTTGGGAACCGTCGCAGAGTCGTCCGTCACCAGGCAATTTTGCGACGGTTATCAGAACCGTTGCACAAACCGTCGCAAAATTGGAATTGCGACCGTTTCATCAACTGTCGCACCAAATGCCTCTATATTAACATTGCGACCCTTTCATCAACTATCGCACCAACTGCCTCTAAATTAATATTACAATCCTTTTTTTACCAGTCAAAAATTATATTTTTTTTTATTTTAATAAATTTATTAATGTAACAATCCTCATATTTGGCCTTTCAAGGATTTTATTTCACGATATTTCACTGTTTAGCATGTTTTATCCTTACTTGTGCAATTTCTGGGAAACTTCCCAGAAGGTCACCCATCCTTGTACTACTCCAGGTCAAGCACGCTTAACTGTGAAGTTCTGATGAGTAAGCTACCGAAATGTATATGTATGTTGTCAGTATAACTTGTACAGATTAATTCATTTAAGTCATCCTCAAATATACAATCTCATATCTGTATTATAATAATAATATATAATAATTTTATATTACAAATAATAATAATAATAATAATA